CAGAGAAATTAAACTATGTTAATCTAGTCATAAAAGAGTCACAATGTTTTGCACATTCCCTCCCCTTACACTTTTACAGTGTAAAAATTGTGTTAATATTATACTTTTCATTCCCTACCTGCTGGGAAAAATATTCAGAAACATCTGTCCATCATAAGCCCTTTTTTTTCTTTTATTTTACTTATTTACTTGTTTATTTTTACCTGGGAACCAGGCAGTCGGCTCTCTGAAGAGTTGTGGCATCGAGTTCAAAGAGGGATGCGATGTCGTTTCCATGAGGAACTGAAACCAAGGTGTACATGATCCTCTCCGCTGCCTGGCACTTTTTCTTTGAAGTTGGCAGCTCTCCATCTCTCTGTTGAGGAGGGTCAAGGTTATTCAGTGTCTTCATATTTCTTACAAAACACTCCAGTTAACCAGGAGATAAGGTGAAGTGTGCATCAGGTTCCTTCACTGGATCATAGGGGCATCTGTTCCAAATCACACAGAAAAATATGGAGGCTCACGGCCTTTAAGTAAGTGATTTTGGACGGCAATAAGGCTCACCCTCTGGGGTGGGGTAGCTTAATCTGAGCACATCCTTCAGATACTAACAATCTGGTGATTTTAAACCTATTTACAAAGGAGTAATTTTGACCCTCCACATTTAACCCAAGCACAGAGGAGAAAAGTCACCTGAATGATTCATAAATGCCATGAATTAAAAGACATACCAATGACCAACATAACATATAAAAAGCTGTCCTACTTCAGTGATCATCAGGGAAACACTGCAGATAACGCCTCACCCCTGCTAGGGTGGCCACTACCAAAGTCAGAGATGCATGTTGGGAAAGGTGTGGAAAAAGGAACCACTGTACCCTCTTGGTGTAGCTATCATGAAAACAGCATGTGGGCTTCTCAGGAAATTAAAAATAGAACTTCCTCACAGCTCAGAACTCCTCCTGGGGATGTGAAAACAATGCACATTCCACCTCAAATATACAAATTAAATCCCCACCACATAAAACACCTGTGCCCAGAATGCACTACAACATCAACTCACAAAGGTCATCAGATGGGGGGTGGCTGGAGAGATGGCTCAGCGGTTAAGAACAGACTGTTCTTGCGGGAGACCCAGGTTTGAGTCCCAGCACCCACGTAGCAGCTAACAACTGTCTGTAACTCCAGTTCCAGCAGATCCGACAGCCTCTTCTGTCCTCCGTGGGCACTGCACAACATGGGTGCACTTACCTACATGCAGGCATAACACGCATACACATAAGATAAAAAAAGGTCATCAATCAGATGGGGACAGCCTAAGACAGACAGATGGGAGGGAGGGAATGACAGGAAGGGAGGGGGAGAGAGAGAGAATGACAGGAAGGAAGGGGGAGAGAGAGAGAGAGAGAGAGAGAGAGAGAGAGAGAGAATGACAGGAAGGAAGGGGGAGTGAGAGAGAGAATGACAGAAAAGAAGGGGGAGAGAGAGAGAAGGTCATCAATCAGATGGGGACAGCCTAAGACAGACAGATGGGAGGGAGGGAATGACAGGAAGGGAGGGGGAGAGAGAGAGAATGACAGGAAGGAAGGGGGAGAGAGAGAGAGAGAGAGAGAGAGAGAGAGAGAGAGAATGACAGGAAGGAAGGGGGAGTGAGAGAGAGAATGACAGAAAAGAAGGGGGAGAGAGAGAGAATGACAGGGAGGAAGGGAGGGAGGCTAAAAGCTGTGGGTCACTGGTCTACAGCACACAGCTCAAGAAGAAATTCTAGCTCCACCACACTGAGCTGTGGGTGGTCCCGCAGCTTTCCCTTAAAGGTGACAAAGAAACCACTGGCTGCCTGTAATGGAGGCAGGAAAGCTGAGCAGGCTCCGAGACTTGCACAGAACCTGATGGAAGGTCATGTATACTAGGGGTTTTTTCTTTTCTTTCCTTCCTCCTTCCTTCCTTCCTTCCTCCTTCCTTCCTCCTCCTTCCTTCCTCTTTCCTTCTCCTCCATCCTTCCTTCCTTTCCTCCTTCCTTCCTCCATCCTTCCTTCCTTCCCTCCTTCCTTCCTTCGTCCCTCCTTCCTTCCTCCCTCCCTTCCTCCCTTCCTCCCTTCCTTCCTTCCTTCCTTCCTTCCTTCCTTCCTTCCTTCCTTCTTCCTTCCTTCCTTCTTCCTTCCTTCCTTCTTCCTTCCTTCTTCCTTCCTTCCTTCCTCCTTCCTTCCTCCTTCCTTCTTCCTTCCTTCCTTCCTTCATCCTTCTTTCCTTCCTCCTTCCTTCCTTCCTCTTCCTTCCTTCCTTTCTTTTTTCTTTTTCTTTTTTTTAGAGACGGTCTTCCTATACAGCCCAAGCTGGCCTCAAACTCACAGCAATCCTGCCACTCGTCTTGGAAAAACACCGCATCCCTGACAGGAATGTGTCACCTAATACTCTTGATGGCCTCCTGTCCACCAATCTTATTATTAGTTTTTGATATAGCTATTCAATTAAAAATGTCCTTTCTAGCCCACCTATTTAGGAACTGCATTGCAGTCTATCAGTCCTTTGTGAGTTCAGTTAGCAGAGGGTCGGTTCTCTATTCACCCACTGCTAATCAAATGGTCTTCTGGACTTAGAAAAGGAGCTGGGATCTAGGTTTCTAGAGCTGGCCTCCTATCCTGCTCTGCTCAGTAACTTCGGTCTGTGAGGCCCAACCAGGCTGACCAAGAACTTCTCGCCGTTTTGACACTTGCACTATAATGAGACCCTTTTCCAAATATAAAAAAAGCTCACTAATTAGGCTTAACTAAAACAAGTCGCTCTGAATTAGTCATAGCATTCGAGACACGGTTTTTGTTTAAATGGCATAGAATAAGTGGAATGTACTATCCTACCCTTCGGTGGTTCCCATCAGTCCTTGGGAAACAGCTTTAATGAAAAGTCCGGGTTATAAACAGCATAGCACTGTGTGTGGAGACCAGCTTCTGATGTGTCTACATGTCTTTTAACAGTGCTGTTGTCTTAGGTGTTCTCCTCCGACTCTCCCACACTCTGGTTCATAAACAGTTTTAGAAGCAAGCATTAAGCCTTAAGCCCCTTGGAATTTTAGATAATTAAATATGAATAAAGACTTAGGGGAGGAATGGGCACTCAGCTATTTTTACAAAGCACTGACTCCACACTCAGGACCACAGGGTAACTAAGCGTGGGATGGAGGCCTGTCCTCTCTGCCTTCATTCTGAGTCTCCTTCATTGTGGCTCAGATTCCTGCTTGACCCTGCATGTAGGCACGCACTCATGTAGTGTCTCTATCCTCTACACCGTCTAAGGCTTTTGTCACTCTTTAGATCCTTCCCTGTCCTGAACCTGCAGTCACCCTGGAGACCCCAAAAAGAAATCCTCGAAGAAGGGACTTCCCCCAGATAAGGGTAGTTACCTACAAGGGTGGAGACTGCACCCAGAACAGAAGTGATCACCTTGTAGGCACCAGATTGATGCCCTTAAGTGACAAGAGAGGTCATTTCTTTGTACCACCTTGCTGAACTGGTTCAGTGAAAACCAGACTGACCAGAGCTGTCGATTGTACTGACCGCTTGTCACCCACCTCAGTCTTCCTCTCTTTAAACCCAAAGTTCATGTCCGTACCCTCGAGACAGACTTGGGGGTCACTGGGCTCTGTTATCTGTTCCTCTTCCCCATGAGGCCGCTCTGAAAAACCCTGTTTTTCATCATTATTCATCTTTAATTCATGTATCAGGATGGGTGACGAGCCACCCAGATGGGGCTGCCAATGCTGTATCGTCACAACATGAAGACAGTTCCAGTCAAAATAGCGTGATTGTGACTTCTGTTTATAAACCTGCATTGATTTTTTTTTTTTTAAGAAAGAAAAAATAAAAAAAGACAAAGAAACTCTAGCTCCCTCACAGACCTCTGGGAGCATCTGCCGCTCATAAATTGTAAAAATGCATTAAGGTCCAACAGAGCTTAAAAATGTGCCTAGCTGAACACCAACAAACTGTCTGACACATGCCCAGTTTAAGGGAATACAAGTCTCAGAATGCCACCCTGTCTACTAGGTGTGACCAAACAGGCATTTAAAACAAATTGTGTGTGTGTGCGTGCGTGTGTCTGTATGTGTGTATGTGTTTGAATAAATATGCATGTTTTCATGGGTGGGTGCGTGTGGCGGGCCTGTGTGTGCGTACCTGCACATGGAGACCAGAGGTTAACCTTGGGTGTCACTCCTCAGGAACCATCCTATTTTTGAAACAAGGTCTCTCCCTGGGACTTAGACCTAGACACACCCCAAGCCAGCAAGCCCCAAGGATGCTGTCTCCCCATGCCCAATGCTGGAACTGCAGGTGGGTTACACAAGGAGACACTTTCCCTTATGCAAACCTTCTGGGAAGCTAAAGACTCTCTCCTGCTCCCCTGGTCCTGGGGCCTGTGGGAGGTGCACTGCAGCGCACCCCAGAACACCTCCATGTCGACTCATGGTGAGTCACTGTGTTCTCAACAGAAACATCATCTTGCAATTCAGCTGCTAGGAGGCAGAGGCATTCTGTGAGAAGCCAGGTCTGTTTCTGAGATGAGATGCAGGCTGCTCTGTTCTCAGGCATCACCCTCCCCCCTCCCTATCCCTGCAAGCTCCACGCTCTGCCTGGGGAAGCCACAGGCACACTCCAAGCTGCCTTTCCTTTAACACCCCTCACTCTCAGAATTCTTCCTGCTTTCTCTTCCTCAGCACGTTACCGCTAGTGAACACTGAGTAAAATTCAAGGACATGTGAGGCCCTTCCAGATGAGGGGCCACCTCTAAATCCTACAGGCTAAAATTTCCAAGTACTTTTGTGACAGTTTTTGCTTCCTAGAAAGACATTTATTTTACGTCTAATTAGGTATTGTGTGTGTGTGTGTGTGTGTGTGTGTGTGTAGATATGTACACGAGTGGTATCTGCAGAGGCCATAGGTGTTCAATCCCGTGGAGCTGGAGTTACAACCTATATGTGGGTACTGGGAATCGAACTCAAGTCCTCTGCAAGAACAGTACATGCTCTTAACTGCTGAGCTATCTCACCAATCCCATATTTCTGTACACACACATAAATGCATGTAGACCTGTGGGTGGGCACAGAGGAGGATTTTGACCTCGGGGGGGGGCATTTGATCATTTCTGGACACATTTTTAGCTGTTATACCTGAGAGCTGGAGTAACGGTGGAGCCACTGCAATTGCTGACACCTAATAGAGATCAACAATGTTGCCCAACACCCTACTGTGCAGAGGACACCCCCCACTATGTAGAAGACACCCCACCACCCATGCAGAGGATACCCTCAACCCCCAACACAAAGAACTTTCTGGCCTACTGCGTCAGATTGCAGAGGCTGCCAAACCAAAGCTCAGCAGTAGCACAGCCTCCCCCTCCAAAATAGTCAGATCCCATCCCACATA